GATCTCATTTAAGCTAGTCGGTATTTGCATTGGATGACGTCTGTGTTTCATCGCTGAACTGTAAACACAGACGACTAAAATGGTGAGAAAAGGGTTGGAACATCACAGAATATCACAAACTTCGTGCGTTACAGGAAATCACAGACTCACCCACATCCATCATATAAATTATACCTCTCCCCTACATTTCTACCAAATAAAATCCGCTTAAAAAGAAATACAGTTCACTTACATTAAGTTTATTCCATTCGTGTGTGAAAACAGCCATTTCGTACTGCGTAGGTGTCGGTGGGCCAACATTCCAAGCCACATTATTACACCAACCAGTGCTATGTACCCAGTGAATACAGCCACTTCCTACCCAAACAACATCGCCTGCTTTTTGTGTGAATCGATGTACCGGGATATTTGCTTCCAACAGCTCATCAATATCTGGCCACCATGAACCTTTCAGAAAATTTAATTTCCGCCTGGAATTTCACAAATATTTTTGAAATATTAAGATAACTTTACCGTAAAAAAATTTAGATTCAAACAATTCTTCTCGGTGTAGAGAACGGTAGTGGACTAAGCAGAATCGAGAATCGGCTGGCTACCCAAGCCCTGCGCCACCCACTATCTGGCTAAGCTTGGGTGGTACGAAAACGCAGTAAATACCGCGCAAAAACGAAAGTGAACGCTACATACAGGAGCATTATGGGGCCAGCATGAATGAAGAAAAATATAAAAAATGGACCCCAGCACTCTGCATCTTCTCGACCCGGACTGCTATAATATGCCTGATATGAAGTTCTATAGTATGTCTAATAGGAAGTTTCCCGGAACTACACGAGCAGCAACTGGAAAGACTGGACATCGCTAATGTTATTATCTGCCCAGTTAGTCAAAGCAGCAAACCAGTAATCGTGCACGCTTCACAAGCGTGCTCGATAGCTGAGTTTAAAGCCTTTAGCTCGCATGTGGATAGAGAATATCCCTGCAAATTTTCAGCTTTCTGCCTTGCCCGATTCGCGAAATCGTTTTCCGCCAAAGAAATATGCATATTTTTTTGGTGGGCCCGTACGGGGGGGG